CTGTTCCCCCATTCCAGTCCCGCAGCCCATCCCAGCCCTGCTCCCGGGGATCCCCGCTCTCCAGACCCCATCCCACCCCATTTCCTGCGCCTCGCAGCCGCTCCAAAGGTCAGGTCCTTGATGGATTTGCTTTTCCCCTCAGGTTTTAGGGCGCGGGGATCTCCTCTGGGTGCTGAGCGGTGACACCCATGGGAACACTGATGGACACGGGGCGCTGTCACCCACCACAGCCTCCTGCACCTTCTGTGAGTTCCCAGGAGCCCTTTTCGTGTCCTTTCTGTCTCTTTTGAGTGCTTCATGACGAGTTTGGGGTTGGTTTCACAAACCAGGAGTGGCTTTAGGCAGCTCTCGGGGTTTTTGCCGCAGTCACGGCCTCACAAACCCCACATGTGAATCCCTGACCCAGCCTCGCTCGTTTTTATCCCCTCAACCATCATTTTAATGGCAAAATCTGCAAGAGCAAGGGTTGGGGTCATGCTGGAAGCGGCCAGGAGATGGCAATGCCACCAACCAAACTGGCACCAGGTCACTCACACCACATCTGCTGTGGACACCRCACCCTTCAGATATCGCTGTTTTGGGGTCATTGGGGAGTAATTCACCCGGGAAAATTCAGGGAGAACTCTGAAGCACCATTCCTGTCACTTAGAAGCTTTTTTGAATTTGCTTCTTACACCTATTGTGTAAAACTGATGGAAAAACACAATTCCTGCCACGAGCAGCTGGAAATTTCAGAGTGAAACACAAAGGGAGAGGTAGAATTTCATCTGGAAAAGTTATTTTCAGCCCACACAGCCCCATCGGTGTCCCCACAGTGGGCAGGAGAATGGCTCAGCATGTCCAGCGTGCTTTCTGTTCCCAAGCATTCAGGCAGCTCTTCCAGAGATAAAAAATCCCCTGCAGAAGCGAATTTTTGATGAGAAAATCTCTGAGCARGGCTGTACCTGAGCCTGGCAGGGGAAAGATGGAAAAGGAGAAGGTTTTGGCTTTGCTGTGCCGGGGCTGGGGCGCTGCAGGAGGGAGATGGGATCAAAGGGAGCCCCTGAATCCCAGACTTCAGTCCCGGCTGACCCAAAAAGCTCCCCGAGCTCAGCATCCTTTCCTGTTGCATCACAAATCTTTCATGAATACGTGTTTATTATGCAAAAAAAACCCAGGTAATAAATATATATAATGTAATAAATATAAACACATATGATAAATTATTACTGGAGAAAAGCATCACAAAGTCCACAGTGAGAGCTCAGAATGTGTTTTGCTGTTTTTTTCCTTCAAAATTAGGTCACTTTCTGTCTCATGGGGAARCAGCTTTCCCACAAAATGTTATTGGAATTGCACAAGCTACTCAATTGCATTAAAAAATGGGGTTAAATATTTATTTAATGGCATTTTGAAGCTCCAAAGTAAACGGGATCAAGGCACCAACCCCCCAGCATCCCCAGCTTACAAGGCTTTGTGCAAAGCCTCGCTGTAATCTGCTGTTTTGCTCAACAGTTGTGGTATTAGAATCGATGAAAACATAAAAAYCCCATCTCCCACGGAATTATGAAAAGCAGGGAGAGCAAACAGGAATAATTTAAAACTGGAGGAGAGGGAACTGATTCCTTTTGGGTGGGTTGGAGAAGGAGATCACCTGTTGCTTCTCTTTCTGTGTTTTAGTTGTGACAGGGTAAAACAGTGAAATTGTGCCATTGATCTTTCMTCATGATGCTCAAACATTTAAGCAGGACAAAATATTTATTTTAAAATATATCTTACACTCAGAAATGCTTGGGCAGGTATTTACGAACCTGGAGGAAGCGGGGTCAGTGCTGGCAAGGCAGAGCCCCTCACTGCAGAGCTTCTCACCCATTCTGGTTTCATTTTTCTTTTTTCTCCCCGCCGGGCACTTCCTGTAAGGTGATACCAACTTGGAGAGGCTGTCTGGAGATATTTGATACTCATTTCTGTGATGGGTGCACTTAGTGATTTAAAAAACGAGCTGGGGGTTATATTTAATTGTTTTAACGTTTTCTGTCGGGTTTTTTTGGTGTTTTTTTTAATTGAACAATGCGATGTTCAAAAGTGCAAACCTTCCAGCTGCCGTGGTCTGGTTCGCAGTTTCCTGTGGMCGCAGTGTGATCTTTTTTCTCTGTGCTTTCCTCCCCGTGCGAGGCATCACCTCCCTGCCCTCCTCCTTCTCCTCCTCCTCCCTCTGACCCCAGAGCTCTCCGCGTATGGCGAGTTTGAAAAATCTCACTCACACAGCGGGTTTCGGTGTTTTGTTTCTCTTTTATTTATTTTTTTTTTTTTAATTTTTTTTTGTGTGTGTGCTGGCTGAAATGGCTTTCAGATGTTTTCCCCGCGCCTGCATCTCGTAAAGCCGCGCCATCGCCGTGGCAACGGTGTGACATCTCCGCTCCCTCCTCCTCCTCCTCCTCCTCCTCCTCCTCCTGCCGAGCATGCCCAATGCGAGCCGCGACTTGGGCTCAACTCTGCCCGGGCTGCACATATGGGACGATGAGCGCGGTTCCCGATGAGCTCGCAGCCTTTGTCCTCGGGAGGAAGAGGAGGGAGAGGCGCCCCGAGGCGCCGGCAGCGCTGCCCCGCTCGCCCTGAGCCCCCCGCCCGCCGCCGGGGACGATGCTCGCCTGCCTGGCCAGGGGCAGTTTGCTGGATATTCTCCAGGAGGGCTTCACCGAGGTAAAATCACGTCCCCCGGGCTTCCCCGAGGAGAGGCCGGGTGGGTTTGTGCGGAATTGTTGCTGATTTTAGCGCAGAAAAGCGGGGAAAATTGGAGAGGTTTGGTGGTGGGTCCTGAGCGGGGGTTGCGATTCAGYCGGAGTTTGCTGAGGAGTTTGTGGTTGGTTTTACGGTGTGGCTCCGGGRTTTTGTGCTCTTCTCGCTGTCCCGRTAAATAAAAYARACAAAATAAACTGCCGGAGGTTGTGGAGCAGTTCATTGTGTAAAATTGACTCCTCTCCCGAGCGATKTGCGGTGTCCGTGTGTCCGGGGTGTAAATCTGCTTTGTGGACTCACGTTTCTCGGGAGAGGCTGACAAAGARCTGCTTTGGGATTTTTTTCCTCATCTTTTCCGGGAAGTTGAATCCCCTGGGGACTGAAATTAAACTTGGCCGAGAAAATGTAATTTTCAAAGTGTTCTTTATTTGCTTATTCTGCTGTCAGGAGATTGATGAATCGTAAATAAGGAGATGCACCAAGAAACCCCAGAGATGGGAGTGCCRTGGCTGTGTGGGGAGTGCAGTGGGATTTCCCTCTTTAGGGGGCACAAAAA